GAAGAGGTCTGAATGAGGCTGACAGTCATTGGTAATATAGCATGAAATTCTGGTTTCTGAGTCAACAGATAAACTACAATGGGAGACTATAGAAGGCAAGTGAAGTAACTGAGGGAGTAAAGTTGCTCAGATGATAAAAAGAAATCACGACAGATTAGAAAGAAATTTGGAAAAAAGTCAGAAAGGAATTAGGGAAGCAGATGAAGAAGGAGTAAAGCAGACAGGACTGAATTAGTAAAAGCAAACTGTATGGTCAGCCCTATAGCCTAGTGGTTAAGGAAACTGGATCCCATATAGCCAGCCAGAGTTCAAGTACTAGCCCCAGGAGCCTGAAAGTTAGGCTGGACACATGTGCACGCATGGCCCAAATCCCAAGGGGATGGAGAAATGGAGGAGGTGGTATGGCATGAACATAGCCCATTGGGGGAACTCCCCCCTTTCTCTCTCTCTGGCAAACATTTTAAATATTAGAAAAAAATTTCAGACAATTTTTATTCTGGAAGCTTGCTGTTCTGTCAGAAAAGGACAGAGAATCACCCCTACATCCACTCTCAGGACTTGAATAAAAATATATGGCCCAAATGTGGTGGTGCAGGAGGTTGGGGGCACTACTGTGCAGTGCTGGAAGCCACAGGAAGGGTGCTGGGTGGTTTCCAGGTCTACGTGAACACACCAGGCAGGCATGGGCATGCTCATGACCCTGGCTGGCTATAGGAATGTAGGGGGATCAATGGTGCCTCTGTGTGTGTGTGTGTGTGTGTGTGTGTGTGTCTCCCTTGTATGAAGGAAATAAAAAATATATTAAAAAAAATAAAGAAAAAGAAAACAAGAACAGATTTAATAGATAATGTGTATCTTATTTATTTTTCCTTCCTGAATACATGGAAGCTATACTTTTCAGTCTCGTGGCGGTGAGGCTAAACGTAAGTATGAGCATAAGTAATGTCGGTCACTTCTTGGCCAAAGCAGATAAAAGCACTGCCCGCAGGTCCTCTCATTTCCCTCTTGCCCAGTGATCTTAGAAATCATGAACAGAAACGGTGGCATTAAACTGAAGAGGGGTCAACAGGTGGCACAGTGGTTAAGCCACTGGACCCCCACATGGCTGACCACAGCTTGAGTCCCAAACCTGGAGGCTTGAAAATCACGCTGGGCCCATGTGCGTGCATGCCCATAACACCAGGAGGAGAATGGAGAAGAGAATGCAGCACAGCCATCCTCCCTGGGGGACGATTTCTCATCTTTCTGTCTCTCTTAGGTGAGCACAAGTGCTCTATGGCAAGAGAGCCTGGACCTGTGTTACCAAACAAAACAAAGCTCCTACAAATCCACTTTGAAAGTCTGTTAACCTGAAAACCCTGGTAGATTAAGCCTCTGAGATCTGGGGGTTTATATGTAACTATAGCACATGCAGATATTAATAGCAAATTAGTCTTTTTTAAAGTTCTCTACTCTAGAAACTTCAAAAAACTATGATGCCAAATATATCACTCACTTTAAAGGTAAGGGCTAACTTTAAATAAGTAAACATAAATCATAAAAGTATATGATATATATATATTTATATATATATACACACACATATGTGTAGATATGTGAATAAAAGAAACTCTTGATAACAAAAACATTAAACTTACAGTGTGAGCACATTTCCAAAGGGTAACTTGCCTCATTTCCCTGGGGGGGAGAAGAAAAGAAACAATTGATCACAAAATTGAAATTAATTTCTTTAAAATATTAAGCTTAACTATTTGGAATCGAAATAATATATGGAAATAAACCATAAACTAAAATGTCTACATCCACAAATGACATTTCCATTTTTAAAAACTGGTTTTAGAAAAAAGTAAGTTACACAATATGAAATTATAGAATAAGCATTCTTGAGTTAAAATGGCCTGAATTGTGGTTTGGGCACTGAAGACTTACACAAACATTTAACTAAAATATATTTTAAATATTTTAATTACTTAAACATGTAGTATACCAAATTTTAAAAAAGAATTACTTGTTTAATTTTATTTCTTGCTATGATTATTTTTAATTTGACCAGAGACGCAGAGAGTGAGCGAGAGAGAGGGAAATCAAGAAAGCAAGCCACCAGTCTAAGACTGAATTTTGGTTGACAAGGTCAGAGTCCAGTGCCTGAACCACCATGCCACCTGGCAGCCCCTGTATACCAAATTTTAACACCCAGGAGAATGTCAGTGCTTTAACCTGTCTTTCTGGGTAAACTCATTTCAGGGAAGAGCTTAGCATAAAGCTTTTCCTGTCATCTCTATTTAATTGAAAAGATGCCAAGTGAGCTCTGAAAAAGAAAGCAAAAACAAATTACCAGGTCAGCAGATGGCATGACGGTTAAGGCATTGGACTCCCACATGGATGACCATGGTTCAAGTCCCAGACCTG